TTTTTGCATATTTGTAAGAAATTAAATCTATAGCAATATTTAGAATTAATGCAACGGGCTTATAAACTGACTCTCTTACTCTAAGTATGTAAGAATAATATTTTCTAATTCATTTATAGTAATAAAAGATAATATCGAGTTTAGGAGATTAATAAAATATGGTTGTCATCAAAGTTAAAAAATTTTATCTAATAAAACTTTTAATAATACTTGTTTCCCAGAATCATAACAAAATTAAAAGTCGGATATATCTGGAAATAAATCTCTCAGTGTTTGTATAGCATAAAAACTTTTTATCGAATTTGTGATAGTCGTTAACTAAATCTTCGTTGCTTGCTGTCTGATTTTTTGCTGTATTCTGTACAGGGTGTTTCAAAAAGGATTCCCTGTATATATTTTATATTCTTGTAAAAAAGGAATTAAAAAATGATGCATATTACAAGTAACAAAATCATATTAAAAGTGAGAAAAAAAACTTTCAAGCTCTACATCATTATTATTTGGAACAACAAGATCAAAGAAAGAATAAAAGTTCTTAAATGCCAAATTATTCGAATTGGACTGGAATGAATTTGGTTGAAAACTTAATTAATATCAGTACTAGATCATTTTCTTCTTCTTCTTTTTGATTTAAACTTTAAGGAACTTCTGAGCCCTAATGTATAGTGCGCAAAAATAGAAAACAGACCACCCTGAGAAACTTCTGATCTAATGATCAGATTTTCACGTTCTAAGACTCAATCTTAAAGGTTCGAGGGGGGGACCTTAAATATGCTAATTAATTAGTGCACACGATATTTGGAGTTACGAAATTAGACACAAAAGCGTACCTTCTCTGTATAAACATGCCTTTTGTCGATGTGTTCGGATTTTTGACACCCAAATTTTAGGGGGTAGCCGCAATCTGAGAAATATAGTCCCACTGGTTTGGTCAGGAGAGCAGTCTAAAGCTTGGACCTCTTAATGATAATTTTATTTTTTGCTTATCTCGCCATATCTCGAGAACTTTTTAAGCGAGTCAAAAGAAAAATTCACACAATTATAAAATTTGTTCGACCAAAGATAATTTCATTTGAAATATAGCTTTTAGTAAAGATTTATTATTTTTTATTAGTTTGTTTAATGATAGTCAAAAACATTTTGAATTGTAAGGCATGCAATTTTTACACAATTTTAAAGAATTCAATTTTAAATGACAAAATATGAAAATCGTTCAAATCGATCAAATCGTTCCTGAGAAATCGAATTTTAAAAATACGACTTTTTCAAAATTCGATTGCTTAGAAAATATTTGACCAACTTCACTCAAATTTTGTATTTTGCCATCCAAAATTATATCCTTAAAACTAACTTAAACAATTGTATACCTCTCAATTTGAATTTTTTTTAAACTATTATTTAATAAAATAATAAAAAAGAATAAATATTTGCTAAAATTCACTTTTTGCTTGTTATTACTTTCGAACAAACTAATTTTATAATTGTGCCCAAAAAAAAATTCCTTTCGCTTAAAAAGTTCTCGAGATATGGCGAACTACGCAAAAAGTAAAATTAACATTAAGGGGTCCAAACTTTGCATCACTCTCCTGACCAAACTACGGGGACAATACTTCCTAGATTGCGGCTACCAACTATATTTTGCGGATCAGGAACCCGAATCTGCTGGAAAAAGAGGCATTCTTATTTAGAGAAAGTACTTTGAGTCTGATTTCGTAACTTAATATATCAGCACTAATTTATTAGTATATTTGAAGTAACCTTCATTAAAAACAAGTCTTAGAACGTGAAGATCCGATCATTAGATCATAAGTTATTCAAAGTAATTCCTTTTTTAGTCGCTCTGTACATAATACTTCACTGTACATACTGCTATTATATTTAAATTTTTATAGAAATTTATAAGACGTGACGAAAAACCCGTATACGCGTACCGCAGATTTTTATTAAATTTAAATATTATTAAATAAGTTTAAAACATTTAAAAACATTCAGAAAAATTTTAATGACATTGTTTGACAAAACTTACACAAAAAAAAGTTTATTTAATCATAGTAGAAATAACAATAACAATAAAACAACAAGGAAAAAAAATTTTTTTTTTTAACTATTCCTTAGTGTGACACAAATTTAATATTTTACGCATTTAAACATATAAAATACAATATAAATACAATACAATACAATATAAAATTATAAAGGCTTTTTAATGAAATTATAGAGGGTAATAGTATGGAAGAAAACCACAGTTTAAATGAAGAAAAGAAAAGTTGTTTAATTTTATATGAGTTTTGTTAAAAGTAACTATTTTTAATGAATACTAAAAAAACTTTTTTGTTTCTTTTCGAAGTTAATAACTATTTTTATATCAAATACACGTTAGAGAGAGTCAATTTAAAAACCCTTTTAATCTAATAAAATCTAAAAGCTCTAACACAATGCATAGAATAAGTAATAAAACAAGATGCTATAATAGAAATTATTGATATAAACATAACAAAAGTATTGAATGGTAAACTCGTAGAGCCGTAATTGTTTTAATTATTCTTCCAAGTATTAAACTTGTTTCATTGTTTTTTTATAACAAAAATTTTATAATAATAATAGAAGAAAGAGCTTGTGTGTATTTGTATCGCTTATAAATCCAAAAAGGCCAAGAAATGTTTTAAAATTTGGTCAGGTGGTATAAAAGGAAATTTTAGCCACATCCTGAAAATTATTTAAAAATTTTAATCAGCCAGTCCTGGAGGCCAGTTTGAAAAATGAGTTTTTCTCAAAGGTTAATTATCGTTCTTATAAACAAAACTGTAGATGATTCTGTTTCTTTTATTCAAATATTTCAAAGACAACATCAGTTACTTACAATAAATAATCAAAATTATGGAATTATTTTCAGGTTTAGTTGTTGTGTCAATTGGTATATGAGCAATTCTACAAGTAAACGCCAATTAGGCGGCCAAAAAAAAAATTTAAAAAATTTTGGGGGGGCATGCTATTTCTACATGAATTTTCTTCTTTTTTATACCCTAAAAAAGCAAGAAAAAATATTAAACATGAAATTTTTTCTTTGTGACATACTTTAAATGACAAAATACCAATTTTGAATTTTTCCCGATTTTTTCAATTTACGAACTTTGATTAAATTTTTTTATTTTTGTTTTTTATACTAAAATATAATCTTATAGTATGAAATCTCTATAAATACATTTTAGAGAGGCATTATAATAATATTATATTTATGTAAAAATCGTTTTATCTGAATAAATGGCCAAGATTTATCTGAGTGTGTCAGAAAGAGTATGTCGCATTTAAAGTATGTCACAAGGAAAAAAATCCATGTTCACGATTTTTTCCTGCCTTTTTAGGGTGTAAAAAAGAAGAAAATTCATTTAGAAATAGTGTGCCCCCTGAAAAAATTGTTATTTTTTTGGCCGCCTAATTGGCGTTTATTTGTAGAATTGCTCATATGCCTTTTAGTTTTATGTATTATTTCTTAGTGTTGATTAATACAGATTAATAGATTAATTTTTTTTTACCCCGTACGAAGAACGGGTATTCAGCTGGTATTATTTAATTCTTGTGACAAATTTTATTCTACATTGATCTCATTTTAATTTGACCCATAGAGAAAAATATTTTTCATTAAATATTTGTTAAAAATGAAAATGAGACAAAACAATATTAGAAATCTAAAAAAAAAAATTTATATAGTACATTCTTTTGAGAGCACCATTCATTTAGAATTGTATTACATTCACTTAAATTGCATGGTGAAGCCTCTACTAAATTTTGTAGCACTTATAATATTTCATTTTTCCGTAAGGATTTGAACCTTTTTTTTTATGAAAAAATAGGTTTTTTAACTGTGAGACTACAGAGCAAAATATTTTACGTACGCTTAACAGCTGACCCAATTTTGGGTTTACGACTACTAATGTTCAACTCGGTAGCCTTGTAATTTTGAACCCAATCCCTAAGGCAAGGAAACTCCTGGATTAGTATCCCAAGAAATATGATGTGTTATGGTACTCGACAGATTTCAAGTGCATCAGTCATCATTCACTGCACGAGGAGTCCTCGACCGAGGGGATCGAACCCATGACCACTTGGACATGGACCCAGTGCCCTACCAACCAGGCTATCCTAGTAATTTATATAAATAAAAGTACCTGAGTTTCAAAGGCAATCGACGTAACAGTTGATAATATTAAAGCTTCCTTAGTGGCATACGATAACAGTTCCGGTCATGGTTTCCCAGATAATTTTTATTCCTTATGATGTGCTCTACTTAGAAGTTTGTCGCAACATTTATTGGACACCCTGTATATTAAGATTTAAGTCGCCACATCTTACCTTTAGAATTGAATATAATAAAACTTTAAAGTTACCAGAGAGATAAACATAAAAAAAATATTTATGATTTTTGTGGAAAGTTGTAACTTAAATATACTAAGAAAAATTCATTGTAAAGGAACGTAACAAAATAGACTGCAACTAATATTGCTTTATTGCTTTCTTTCTCATCTCATTTCGTAAATCTTTTACTTTACTTCTGACATGAAATTTAGAAAATAAATCATTTTAGAAAAGCACAAAGGTAGTTTTTTGTGCTTGGCTCTCTTTTACAAATTTTCTATTTTTACCCTTTACATAATATATATTAAAAAATCTTATCTTAGAGTACTGCAGTAAAACGTGCAAAGACCAGAATCATTTTTGGTGTTGGAAAATTTTGTTTGTTTTTTGTGTTGTTCATAAATCTCTTATAGTTTCTTGCTGGCGTGAAATTAAAGAAAATCATAAAACACTATAAAATTTAGTAATATTAGCAATTTTTGTGCTCTCTTCTATTAATCTACAAAATTAGTTTTATAACATAAATTCTAAAACAAGAGCTTATTTTAGAGGATAAATAAAACCGAAACCACTTTTTGCTCATCAAACATTTAATAGATCTCCGAGTTCACCATTTGGGTTTTTCAAGATTCTGAAATGTGACTTACGTAAACTTCTTCCCACTGACTGACGTAGCGGACCAACCTGGACAACCTGAGCAACCGGAGAAGGGAGAGCATCTTAGCCAACCGCAAAATTCGCAGAGCTCTGCCTGCGTGTAGTATCTGATAATTCTCCTGATAATCCTGATTAAAGATTAGAAATATATAGTCCAAAGGGATGGAACTTAACAAATCCAGGAAAAACCACGTTCGCAAATAATGCCTGGCAATTAATCCTGGATCTAGGATCACCTGTTCTGAATTATCCTGATTCATGATACCTGAAAGATAATAAAAAAATATTAAACCTAGCTTATCAGCTGATTGACATGGATTATTCGTTAAATAATCCATTCGTTAAATAATTATAAAATAAAAATTTATAAAATGAAAGTACATAAGTTGACATACTATAGATTCTGTTCTATAAACAAGAACTTTTCTTCGGTACCTAAACTTCAAATGGAAAACATTTGACATTCATTTTAATTCGACGTGCAAACACTAAAGAAGGTTCTTGTTTATAGTACTGAAACTATAGTATGTCAATTTATGTACGTTTTCACGGTTGTTTTTTGCTTTAGTCTTACAAGTAACAAACAATTGAAATATATTTGTACCTATTTCATTTTTTTTTAAATATTGAAAAATATATAAATGACATTACATTAATTTCCTTAATGGGATACCCGCAAGTGACGTAGTGTGGGTACCTCGATCGTGATTGGTTGTTTAAACGTGGCATTTGTTTACGTTAGCAACTGCTCTTTCCATTCTATTTCGAGTAAGCCCAGCCCGTCAAGTATCCATTTTCTTAAGTGGCACATTTTTCTATTTTCTAACAGCATTCAGTCACAAGAATTTCAATTCTTTCACTATATATTTCTTACTTAACACAAAGACAGGCATGAAGTCACGTACGACATAAAAAAACTAATTATGCATCGAAGTTGCCAGGTACACAAAACAAAAATATGTCATGTGTTACCATAAAATACATAAATAAATAATAAATCTAAGTTAAGTAAAAGATGTTAGACGAGACAGAATTATATTTTAACAAATTCAATGTGCGATACGGCGCTGTACTTAATTAACTTCACGTTAATTAACATTTTAACTTATGTGGAGAAACTTAGCTCAACTTTAATACGCCATTTAGCTTATAAACGAGCAGCTGACGCTAGCGTCATAGGTCATATGTGTGGGTATCTGTGATCTTCTTCTTCTTGAAGTACCCAATTGTAATAATATTTTAAACCATTTGATTATTTGTATCTTAGTTTATAAAGTAATTAATGATTGATTCTATCAAATAATACCTTGTTTGTTTGATTATAAACTTGATTCTTTTAGGTAGCGGAAAATAAATAAATAACATTGTATTATTTCGTTAGATTTATATTAAGTGTGCAGAAACGTTACCGCAAAAATCTGATTTTCATTTTTAAGAGTGACCAGAAGGTAGTGGCCAGATTATCTAGGTAGTTTGAAAAATGAAGCAATTTTGTAGACTTTATCGAATCTCCTTAGTTAATCTAAAAATTAGCTTGACAATTTGCAGGATAGCTGGTTTATAAACTGTAGCGGTAACGGTTATGTTATTACTTTAAGTATAACACTTTTAGTTTTATTTTATTTTTTAACTATACTTAACATTTCTTTTTAAAACTATAGTTTTATGTATAACACTTATAGTTTAGTTATGTTAAAATTTCTATAGTCTTAAGAATACAAAGTGAATATATTTTATTTTATATCTGTTATTTAAGCTTTTTATTATGATAGGACAATAACAATATATTATTTTTTTATTTAAACAGATAATTGTTCATCTATAGTCTGAATTTTCGTTAGTAAATATTGTTATCGAATACAGTATTTTCTCCACTCTAGAATTATTGAAATTTACATGTAAGCAAGTAATTATTCCTATTGTCAAAATCCCCACCTTTAACCAGAATTTTCACTTTTAAAGCATTGTTGACACTGTTGAGTTATATATTACACCATTTTACCCACTCAAGACTGATGTATTTGTACCTTTAAACATAACTAAGTAATTATTTCCATTATTGAGTAATCCCCTATAGACTGAACTATTTTGACTCAGTTATTCATCCCACTAACAAATTACCCGCTTATAATCCATATTCATTTTAATTATTTTTAAGTTGCTGTTAATATTGATATCAAACTATCATCCACACAATATAAGTTATTATCCTTACAGTATTTACGTAATTTTTCCTCCATCTAAAAAATCACAAGCTTTCTGACCAGTTACTATTAATTAAATTTATATCACAAACATAACATTCCTTTTGAATAAATATTAAAATATTTCAAAATGTTTTACATATAGCACTGCATCTGTATAATATTTGTTTCATTATTTATTTTATACTCAGGATCATATTTGTTTTATTCTTTAAAATCCAACCGGAAAGCTTTTAAAGCAACTACTTCATTTATTTAAATTGTTAAGTAAAACAGATTCGAGTTGTATCTTCAACATTCTCAGAGGGCAAAATCGTTTTCTTTTCGCGCCACTCAGTAGTAACAGTGACGTAGTTGATTACGTCAGACGATCAGCTGATGCCAAGGCAAACGATCGGGGGAAAAGGTCGTCTCCCACTCAAATCCGGGTATCGAATGGTCCGCAACAGTCTGCCCTAAAAAGAATTTCACTTTGCTCAATTCTCGCCCACTTCACCTGATGTTTGTGGAAATAAATCTATTTATTTTAAACCTTAAATTCATTAATCGATTATAATATTAAAATTACGGTTTTAATTGTGGTGGATAAAGAGGGAAGAAACAAAAAGACGTGAACTTACTCATTAAAAATGCATTTCCTCAATGAAGTTAAAGTTATAAACATAATCTTAGAAAAAATAAATATTCATAACGGGTTTCCTTTGAGCTCATTCACCAAAGAGAATAAAAAAAAGCTACTTTCAAAGTGTCTTAAATTCTCTGTAAAGCTTTAACTTTAAATTTTGTAATACTACTTTGCTTAAAAGAATGACATGGGCTTTAGAACAGATTAATAGCTTAAGGCTGTTTTTCTAAAGGCTAAATAGTCACATTGAAAACATTATTTTAGCGAATAATGTGCTACTATTATAGTTTTTGTGAGTTTTTAACAGTTATTTATGACTGTTTGACTAAATTTTGCCTATTTTTAGCCAGCGTTTTCTATGTTTATTATGAAATTAGCTCAAAATGTCTATATAAGGAAAAGTTACTCTAAAATTACTCCAACACTACTTCGTCTGGGCTCATGAAAGTGCAAAATACTGTGAATTATTAATTGTTTCTAATGATTTTCGTCTGAAAAAATCTCACCAAATCGGAGATTTTTATAAAAATCATTTTTAATAATATTTAAGCTATTTTTATGTCCTAAAACTTATAGACTCCTTTACGGCAAGATGGATAGTTTTACCTCTAGTTTAAGATACTTTGGTGACTTTTTTTTATTTTCCTCGGCAAAAGAACTTCATAAAACACCTTTAAACATTTTAAAAGTTATTAAACTTTTAAAAAATTGCCCATTTGGCGAAATTTCATCATTTAGATGAAAAATCATTAAAATCAATGAATAATACTTCTCAGTTTTTGCAAGTTTTTTGGAGTTCAAACAATTCAGCAGAGTAACTTTCCAATTATTTAAAAATTAGATTGCAAACGCTTTTTTACTCTCATTAAAATGTGGCTTTTCTTCATATTGTTATGGATTTGTAAATATGTGAATAATTTTGTAAATATTCTCCGGTTATTATGCTAAATATCTCTGACGGACTCTAAATAAACAGGTAAATTAGAAAACTTGCAAGAAAATCGCGTAATTCTAACGTAATTTAAAGAGAAAATAATGCTTAATGCATTTCTGTCGACTTTGCGAAAATTTTGGTGACTTGGCTACACTTGAAGACCATTTTGGCGACAAAATGATAGTTCGGAAAAATGTAGAGTTTCGAAGAGAGATGACTAATATGTACTGAGTTATGCAATAATTGTCTAGAATCATGTCGAAAGTTTCAGAGTTAAGTTGCCAAGCCTATATAAGTAGGGAGAGGAGTAGTAAAGAACATTAGTCTGTTTGTGACTGTAATGGTGTTTTGATTGGTGAGTTTCTTGTTCCGTCTGAGGTTACAAAACCTGTGATTTGTTATATACTAGCCAGTTATTCGTACTGTAATCGAGTGCTAAAAATTGCTGAATTTTCCGGAAGATTCTACTAATAAATTTTTAAGAGTTTTAAGGACTGTTTTATTCATCTCCAATCGACACGAACCCCTGTGCTCGGTACAATATCTATGTTCTGCTCTATTTAGATAATTATCATAGAGGGCGCTGGCTAAAGATGAATTAAACTTCACCTAGGAGTCATGAATAACTGTTGCAAAGTCACGAGACATTTGAAAATAGCATATTATTTTCTAAAAAACGTTATTTTATGTGATGACAGAGACTACGACAAAAACGTTAGTGGAATCTGATATGTAGTATCTATTCTGACATAACAATTACTGAAAAATATTGTTATAGGAGTAACAATTCAATCAAAGCAGTAATTTGAAGGTCCTGCAAGTAATTTTAACTTCAGTGATTTGATTATAATTTTCTATTTTTCTTTCGAAAGAGAGGATTTATGTACTTTAAAGAATAGGCCTTGTAATTTTAAACCCAATCCAGAAGACAAATCAACTCCTGGATCAAGTATTGGGAGAAATTTACCGTCGTGGTGGACTTTTTGATGAAACTAATCTGCATTTGCGTTACATGGAGAGGGAGACCACGAAAAGCCCCTATGGTTAGCCTGACAGCAAGGGGACTCTAACACATGATCCGTCTACCACTGAGGATATTTTAGGTCAGCACTGTGGGTGGTAAGTGCCATGTGTGGAACTCGAATCTCAGCCGTTGCTGGAATCGAACCCGGGTCACTTCGTTTTGAAGCGAATGCTCTATCCCTTGAGGTACCACGACTCCTTATATCTGGTTTGTCGCTTGCAACCTATATCAGGTCAACATGCTTATAGCTCTGTACTGAGATCAAAACTTGCCCATTTAAAAAAATTTAAATTTGCTGCAAATTTACGATACCAGTTGTAGGGAATAAGGCATATAGTTTGATACATTTGCATTTAAAGGTTTGGTTGTGATATTTAAATAATCATAAAAATTGTAGTGTCAAGTGCGTCCAAGTTCTTATATTGTTAATGAAAAAAGTTCTTTAGTATGAGAAAAACCCGTATTAAAACCTGCATTAAAACCAAACACCCATTTAAATAAAATGCATAATACAGCAGATTTTGTAAAAACAGCAATTAATCATTTATTTAATAGTTATTGATACTTACGTAAATAAATGATAGATAAGGTTACTTTTTTTGTTCAAACAATGAAAGTAGTTCTTCATTCCAAACGATATGATGACAAAAAACTTTCCAATATACTTATTCTAAATATTGGCTTTTCCAGATACAAAAAAAAAAGGAAAAGGATATTGTGCAAGCTGACAAAAGAACTCGAAGGCAATGACAGCGGTTTGGGTGGGGGGAGGTGGGGAAGAAAGAAAAAATTCTTCATCTTTAACATGTTGATGATGAAGGAGTGCTCAATTTGTCCAATTTAATGAACCGAATCAATCGTCATGGCCTCCCCGTCATGTGGCCACCCTTTTGGAGGTCATCGATTAAAACCTCTTGGATCGATTTCACGGTTACAGTTTTCCATCCACCTCTTTCGATACGAGGGATTATTTGGTCAAAAGTCGCACATTATTCGCTTGCTTTTCGTTTACTTTCGTTTTTCTTTTTCGGTATATCGTATGAATTCCGTTCAACCAATCACGGCTTTCTTTGGTTTTTACTTTTATTCCAATGGGAAACAAGATTCGAAAAAAAAGGTAAAAGGAAAGACAGATGAAATGTTCCTGTTATTGATTTTTAAAAAGTTCTTTTTTAAAAAAACTCGTTGGTGGTCATGTTTTATAAGCATATTCAAATGAGCTTGGTTATAATTTGTTCTTTGCATACTTTTTTTCGTTTTTATAAATATGAAAAGGAAACAGTTGTTCGGGGTTTTGGAAGTTCGGATAAAATGATTAATGTGACATTTTTTTTTAATCGTTTTGAAAATAATAAATTTTTATCGTTTGGCTTAATGTATAATTGCTTTCCACGTTACAAAATTCGTTTGGTTTATATTTTTTGATGCGATTAGTTCGAATGAAATAAAACGACGCGAATAAAGCACAAATAAACGTACAAAATTTTGGTATTTTTATTTGTGCTTCATTCATGTTAATCATTCGAAGCGAAGTATACCCTATCATCATTTGGCAATTAATATGTTTTACCTTTCTTACTAAAATATTTATAATCACTTCATTAGTAAATGTTGGTGGAATGTATGAGAGGGAAAAAATAATGGGAAAAAGAAGTCACGAGCTTATAAATTAGTGAATAAATGAATGAGAAAATAAACCATAGAAATGAATATTCGAATACGGTTAATTAATTATCAACGATTTGTTTTTGAATATAAAAATTAATTTAAATAAAGAAACTGGAACTTATATAATAAATAAATGAACTAAAGAATAAATTGAGTGGAAAAATTAAATTAATGATGAAATGAATAATTAACTTGATAAATGAATCAGGAGAACAATAAAAGCATATTTATATTGATAAATGAATGCGATAATTTTTTTAACAGCAGACACTGAACACTCGTTCTTCGCCTCGGAAGATACCGGAAGTGCTGCTCTTTAACGCTACCTGGTGGGCAACTGTGAACCTAAATCAGGAAGGGGAGCAATACTACTCACGCCACACTGCCACAGATCCCCGTTCATAGGATGGGCAACATTCACACAACAGAATAGAACACACAGAGAGAACATCCCTGTGCGGGATTCGAACCCGAAACTTAGCAGTGAGGCACACTAACAGCTCGGCCATCTGATCGGCATGAAATAATATATAAAGGCAAACTTTTCCTTGAAATAATATTTTCAAGGAAAAAATGAATGAGGAAAAACATAAAAAGGAAGTAAATAAATGAATGAAAACCCGATAGCTTAGTGGTAAAGGTATTGAACTGTCATTGTGAAGAACTGGGGTTCAATCCCTAGTGGCAACTTAAGGCCGACCCAACTACAAATTGATGAGTACTTGCTCTTCTGGAAAGTAAATACGACGATTTTGACCACATTGTCGCAATTATGCCATTAGTCACGAAATTGTAGAACGTTAACCTCCGTAGCCTCCCAAGCCCACAACGAGCTGTTATGGTAATGCTTCAAATGAAGAATGACATCAAAAAAATAAATAAATAAAGGAATAAAAGAATAATAAAAATCAATAAAAGATTAAGTATTTATATTCGGCTTAAGTAAATTATTCTGAAATAAAAGTTAGAAAAAATACTGTAATTAATGAATAAATAAATGAATAAATTGAGTGGAAAACCTAACTAACGATTAAATTAATAAAGTAATAATTAAATCGATAAATGAATCATGAAAACAATAAAAATATATTTAAATTAATAAGTGAATTAGAAAATCAATAGGGTATCGTTGAATGAAAAAATGAATAAAAAAATAAACAAAGGAACGAATAAATGAATAATGAAATCAATAGAAAAACTAAATGAATAAAGGAAAAATGAAATCAATAAATAATCATAAATGGATTATTCAACGGATTAGGAAATAAATGCTAGAAAAAAGACAATAATTAATGAATGCAAAAAATAAACTAAGGAATAAAATGAGTGAAAAACTAAACAAACAGCGATATCAATAAAGGATTAATTAAATTGATAAATAAATCATGAAAGCAATAAAAGTATACTTAAATTATTAAGTGAATGAAAAAATCAATAATGTTCCATTGAATGAAACAATGAATAAGGAAGTGAACAAAAGAACGAGTAAATGAATTATTAAATCAATAAAAAAAACTAATCGAGTAAAGTAGTTCTAAAAATAATAATAATTAATTATGAAGGAGTTATTTACTATTATTATTTTCATGAAATGAATGCTTAAAGAAGACAGTAACTGTTGAATATAATTACTAATGAATAAAATAAGTAATAATTAAATAAATGGTGAAATAAGTAAAGGATTAATTAAATTAATTGAAGAATCATGAAAGTAATAAATGAACATTCAAAGGAATTAATGGATAAAGAGTTCAGTAACTGAATCCTTAAACGAATGAATATATAAATAAAAAAATCAAGGGAGTTATTAAATTAATTAATAAGTGATGTAATTAAAAAAGAAATTAACAACTAATTAATGAAATAGATTAATGAATCACTAAACTGACACATAGATTAATGAAAAAAAGATTGATCTTATGAAAAAATGATTTCGTTTCCGAATTCATTATTAGAAGTGTATAAATAAGATAATGAATAATTTAAAAGCAAACGAAAGTTTATAATAAATGAGTAATCAATAAAGGAATAAGTGAATTAATTATTAATTGATTGAATGAATGAAGGAATAAATCAATGAATGAATGTTGGAAACGAATGAATGAATAGAGTGTGTAACTGACCCGTTCTGAAGTTGACGAGGATGTCGAGGAGGAAGACGGTATCCGAGAGGCAGTTGAAGGCTATCCACCGTGTGGAGAGGTCATCGTTGAAAAAGGAAATGGCCACAGGAAGAACTATCAGGTTGGCCACCAGGAAGAACAACATGCACAAGTCCCAGTATAACCTACACAAAATAAAAGGAAACAAAACCATTAATGAACAAAATCATGTTACACAGGGTGTTCCGCAAGGACCACCCTCAATGTGTACTTTTGAATACCTTATCTGAAAAAGAAGACAAAGAAATATAAACGTTCGGGATCTCAAATTATTATTTAACCCTTCCCTCCACACTTTTTAAAAGTGAAAAATAATTATTATTTTCAGATGGAAGATTAATCAAGAAAAATGCAGAAGGAAAAAAAATCTATTTTTTGTGAGGGTAAAAGCATTTTTTTCACTTTGCACGTTTACAAAACTGCGTGTACAGTATTATAAATCATTTCTCAAATCATCATCATTTGATCCAGGACATTTCGTCGACAGGGTCATTTCATCGACAAGTCATTTCGTCGACAAGTTCATTTCGTCGACAGGGTTGTTTCGTCGTCAGGGGTATCGTCGACAAGGACAATACGTCATCTGCGTATCGTCATAATTTAGTATACTTTTATGTATATAAATTTTTTAAACTTTGATCAAAGCAAACTTTGCTTCCTATGTTGCAATTGTCAAAAGAGAACTTTTTTTTAAATTTGAAATTGCTTACTTTTTTTGTTTTACTACGTTACGTTGCAAACACTGAGCCTTTATTCAATTGGTGTTTTAGTGGTATTTTATTGGTATTTCTCTCTAAGATTGTTTATGTTTAGTTTTTGAAGATTTTAAATTATACGATATGGATTAGCACCACAAAGCAATTATTATAATGACTGTAAATGATTTTTGAGTGGGAAGAAGGTATAAAAGTACAAGGGAAAAAAGACTGAATTTTTCCTTTTCGGTCATTTTACTTTGGAATGAAATATTGTTTCCAATATTACTTGATTTTGAAATAAATTTCGAACTTAAAATTTGTAATTTTGTTTTTATTTTTTTTAAATAAATTGATAATTAGTTGGGATAGTTTAACCAAGATCAATTGATGTACCATCATTTGCCTCTTTAATATCTAAATTGCAATAAAGCAATGCACAAGAATTGAATTCAGATCAGCATGACTAAGCATGATTCTTTGACCGTTGTCAAAAACCCATAGTTTCTCAAGTTAACAATCAAATGATATTTAGAATCAAATAAATTAAGATATTGTGAGAATTAAAATTAATTAAAATGTATAAGTGACAAATTGACAACTATTTGGGGGGGGGGAGAATTTTCATACTGATAGCAAAAATCGCATTTAATAACATATTTAAATAATAAGAAACATCATAAGAAAAAAATTTTAAGATCGTGATGTCATGAATATTTTATTTTATTTTATATCTACAGCATATTTACAGTTTAAATAAAACAAGAGATCACAAGGAAATTGAAATATTAAAAATAATGTAATAATACACTCTATAACAAAAAAATCGACGCACCAAGAAGGAGTTGTCAGACTGAAACGAAAATTGGTGGATAGGAAGGCAAGGTACAGAATAGTAAATGATTAAAATTTCAGAACAATTGAATAATGTATTGCAGAGTTACAGTAACAAGTTCAATAGGGTATTGATCAGCCTCTAGCCTGGATACAAGCTGCCACACGGCGTGGCATAGACCGATAAAGCTCCCGGATGGTCTCTTGCGGTATTTCCTGCCAAATTCGATCCAATTGTCGAACGAAGTCATCAACATTCCGTGCCAGATGCAATCGCTTTCCCATCATATCCAGACCGCTCGATGGGAGAGAGATCTGGTGATCTGGCAGGCCAAGGAAGAGTTTGACAAGCTTGCAGACAGTTCATAGCAACACGTGCTGTATGTGGTCTAGCATTGTCCTGCTGAAAAAATAGACCAGGGCACTGCAAAAGGAACGGTAGCAAAACAGGTCTTAGGATGTCGTCGACGTACCGCTGCGCAGTAAGTGTACCTCTAATGACGACCAAAGGGGTCCGGCTGTCAAAGGAAATGGCACCCCAGACCATAATGCCTTGTTGAGGGCCGGTGTGGCGCGCAATAGTGAAGGCAGGGTCCCCCTCTGCCCTGTGCGTCTCCAAACACGTCTTCGATGATCGTCAGGACACAGTTGGAAACGGGAGTCGTCGCTAAAGACTATACGTCCCCAGTCGGCATCATTCCAGCCTGATCGAGCGTCGATTTTGCGCGTCTTAGTGCGTTCTTAGTGATTCGATTTTTTTGTTATAGAGTGTATAATGAAATAATGCATCTGGGATAATGTAATTCATGCAATAATGACCCGTCGCTGATATCTTAAAATAAATAGTAAAATAATTATAATCGCCTACTGCTCTGCAAAAAATCAAAGATTTCGCAAATTTTTATTTTTACTTTTAAGTAAATTGAATCACTTGTTTGATGTTTACACCGATAAAATGATTCGTCCATATTTTCTTATACATTCCGTTTCCTTTCTTCAACCCTATTGATAAAACGACCTGTTGACGAAATGAGCTACCTAAGAAACGACATAGTTGACGAAATGACCGAATTTGCAAAATTACCCAGTAGACGAAATGAAATTTTGACAAAATGACCCTGTTGACAAAGTGACTTATTATGCTTCGTAATGCATTGTAGATAATCCTTGCTTATGTATGAGCGTTTCTTTCTTAGAATTTGAGTGTAAAAAGAATCTAAAATAGATACATAGTCCTGTCTCCTTTAAGCGCTCCCCAGCTAACTGTCAATTTGTTAAGGAAGAAAGAAACGAATTAAAAGTATAATTTTCAGTTCTAAAATTATTTCAGTATCCAATAATTTCGATTTGAATATTTCGTTGATTCATTAATTCAGGGTCCTCTTCCTGTACTAGCTATATCAAGAATAATTCAAATTACTGCAGTTGCCTTTGCCATGTTAATCTATAAAAACATACAATAAAAATTAAACCTAAACAATCAAACTCTGAAATAAATATATGTTTAAAATGCAACTTCAGCACCAAATCAACAAGGGCTTCGATTCTACACCGTGAAGTACAGCAAAAGGAGTAGGCAATTTAAAATTTATAAAAAAAAAATGCTTCTTCTCTTGCAATTGCAACATAGGAAATTTTGCTTATACTATTTGGTCACGGAAATATCTGACGATTGAATTCCCTGGTCTAGAGTGGCTATGCATAAACTGAAAATAAATTAAATGAAATATGGTTTTAATTAAAATAAGAACGGAAAAGGACTAAAATAAGCTTTAAAAATGGTCGTCAGAGAAGCATACTTTTTCATTGTTGAATTTGCTTATTTTTATTCGATGCAAAATACTAATGCCTTTTTTTTTATAAATGAATATCCTTTTCGTAATTCATTCATTATAGTGTTGTTAGAAAAAACATCGTTTCCTATTTTCGTTCTTCACAAACATTTTAATTTAATAATTTTATGAAAATAACGAAATTATTAAATGCATTATAGTTCATTAGGTGATAAAAAAATAATTAAAAACTTTCGAAAATCATAACTAGCTAAATAAAAAGTCCTAACCCACGGAACCTTCACGAAACCCTAGGGTTCCGAGGAACGCAATTCGGGGACCGCTGCTTTAAAGAAGTAATCGTTCAAAAAATACAAGCGTTGTTGTTTCTTATACCACTTGCCAATATCTGCAAGCCTGCTTGGTGAGACCAAGCGAATTTAAGGCAAAAAGGTGCGTTTTTTGTCTCTCAGTGGCGCTATCTATGACCAAGAATACGACTTCAGACACACGCACGTAGCAGCCGGTTTATATCCATTCATACATCCATTTATTCATCCACACATCGTAGTTTTGATCTGAACCGGAGAATGATAAATTTCCAATTCAGTACCCCCAGAGGTATTGATTTGACATGGAGAACTTTGCTATCCGACAGATTTAGCGTGCACTAGTCACCATTTACTACACAGGGAGCCTTCGGCAGGGGAGAATCAAACTCACGACCTCTTGGACATGGGCCCAACGCCTTACCAATTAAGCCATTCCGGTCCATAAATGCAAATAAATGGCTTAAGTTAAGTTGAATAGTATTTGGTTTATTAGTTACAATATTTTTCAATTTTATGCGACATCCTAATTATTTTGTTGCTCTTAAATCTCACCTTTATTGTATCTGTCTTTATAGTAATTCTTCATATTTTCATTACATTTTTTTGCATATTTACAATATTAATTTGCCAAATACGTATAACTTTTAAATTGTTCCCTGATGAATATTATAAAGAATAAACATTAAGGTTAAAGATAATGGAATGTTGTGTAGGTAAACGAGAATTTCTTTTTCTTTTTTTACTCTCTAAATAAGTAATTGTTCAATGAATTATAATAAATGACTTAAGCTATAAGCCGAACATCATTTGGTATTATTAACTAAAATAATCATCAAATAATTATTGTCAAGTCTATTTCCTGTACCAAATATTATAGAATCGTGCATTTTCTCTTTTATAAGTAAGTTTGAAAATCTTCAGCTCTCAATCCATACAAAAATCGTCAATTCTGATTTAATTCGCAAACGCTCGCCATTTATTTCGAAACATCGCATCAGCAAGCTCTTGCATAGACTTCTCTTTTTAAATTGAACTCGTTGCCAGGTCTACGGTGTCTTCGTTTTATTTCCATAACGTCATGGGAATCGTTTTGTTTTCGAAACGATCTGCCATTCCGAGTACAATATCTCACATTTATTGGCACAAATTGAACCCGAGTAAGTAACTCCCGATCGCGATACGGGGAGTTATTCTACCCACGAGAACTCTTTCATCATTTTAAGAAGAAACGGGCTTCTTATTGATTGGCTGCCGTTGAGTGAGCTCTCACCCGCACTAAATTGTTCTCTGAGAAAGATGAAGAATAATTTTTATACCGTTCGTAATTATATATGTTATTCGTTGTATGCGCCTGTTACTGGTTAGATTTGGGAATTTGGTTCTATATTGAGATATAAATATGTTGGAAGGTATGTCTTGGATAAAATCGGTAGTTGTGTGTTATTGTGTATGCGATAACTAATTAATCCTTCATTTAAACAAGGGTCTACTA